CGTCGCCTCCTCGGCCGCCGGCGAAGCCCCCGCCCGCCGCCGCCTCCAATTCGGGTCGTCTGCGAGGCGCCGAAGCCGCCGCCGCCGCCGAAACCACCGCCGCCGCCGAACGAACCCCCGCCGAACGAACCCCCGCCGCCGCCTCCTCCAAACGACGAGCCGCCGCCGGCTCTAAAACCTCCCCCAGCAGAACTAGAGGACGAGGCGGTTGCTTTCATACCCTTATAGGGCTGGTGACTGAGCATAAACTGAGCCATTTTTTCGAGAAAGGTGTTATCTTGTGTATAGGTGTACTTTTACACAAAAAAATCTTTCAGCGCGAAGGGGGACCCAGTGCTTCCAGCGACCCGTCGGAACGCAAGGTAAGAAAACAGGTTTACCCGCCCGGGAAAAAACCGCCTGCGCGTCAGGTATTTAAATTCACGGGCCGGCATACGTCTGGAACAGGTCTGTTTGTAAGGGCTGTTCTGGTTGGTTGCCGGGCAGGCCTCGAGGGGAACCGAGCTGCAAGAGCTGCATTGTTCGCTGACCCGTAAGCACTACGATCCTTCCCACAGCCATTTTGATACACCCCTCATCTTTACAAATAAACAAGACACCACGACGTGTTTTGTCGTGCTTTTGTCGTAGGACGTCGTGCGATCTTAATGTAGGATTTTCAAGCAGGCTAGGGTGTGACAAAATCGAACGGTGACAATGACAGCCTTTTCTGTATCAAGACCTATTCAATTTGCACGACACTTGGACGACTAGAATATCTTCAGTGTGTGGTCGCACGACGATCGTATTGCGAACGTAACAGGTCCTTTTCCTAAAAAGGGAAGCAAGTAGATATTGGGGCTCATCGTACGACTTTCTTACCGTCTCTTGACGACAAAAACAAGACAGACCATTCTATAAATCAGGATGACACGACAATAGCGACGATTGTATCTTGTCTATATCTGGGTCAAAGGATAAAAGACTAGAGGGATTTGTGTGCACGCAAGATGGTGGTTGAATTCACTTTTTCTACTGCATATCTTACAAAAACAATAAGTAAACGACTGTAAAAATTCAGTCACAAGGCATCTTTTTTTTCAGTGACTGCTGAACTGATTTTTGAAAAATATACAGACGATTTTTGTAAAATCAAGAAATTATCGGCTTTTTACTGTTTATCTTTTCAGATATGTCTTTTTTATAAGATTAGCGTTTTTTTTTCTTTTACAGTTTCTAAGTAATGCCATGGCTAGCTTATAACATGTAGAAAGGAAGGGTAACGCCCACTTTTGGAACAAAACAAGGATTACATTTGTCTAAAGTAATGGAAATAAGTATTATTTCAACTTCATGCATATAGTTCAGCAGAATGTGGTCTAGAATTAAAAAAAGTGATATGAAATTCTGTTTCATTTAAAAGTAGCAAAAAAGAAAAAAAGACTTGACATATAATTTACGTTTCGTTGCGATCAGACTGTCCTCCATCTTGTTGACCTTTTGTGTTCTCCTTCAAGAAGGGACAAATAGTACACAAAGGTCATTCATTCACGTAGGGTGTTCACAGGGAGAAGGTTCTAGTAGTAGAACAATGCTCCAAGACCTTAGCTATACGAACAATTATAGCACTTTCTGTTTATTATTGCATAAAAACCGTGTTAATTTCAAATCTCGTCTGCTGTGTGCTCTGTTCTATAACTATAGCCTTAAGCATGATGCTATGAACACTTATATTTTCAGACGTTTAATAACAAAGACACTATTGACGGGTCCCCCCTTAAGGTTCTAGCCTTACACCAATTACTGTCTTGTCCGCCACGCTACACTACATTTTGGATAATTGTTTTAACGATTATTGAACTATAATGCTAAACTGTAGCGTTTAGGATACAACTATTTAGTAAGTCATCGGTGTAAGTTTAAAGGGCTGGATGGTACATAGCTTGTCATTCATTCCTTCGTTCAGCTATTTGTTCATTCATTAGATCTTTAATTTTCTTGCAATTGTGCATTCGTTCTTTTAAGTTCTATTTCTCTTCTTTGTTCTGATTTGATACATGTTATTTACTTTCATACTCTCACCCTTTTATATAACCCCATATATACATTTGTTATGGGGTTCTTTATCATAACTTTCTTCATGTTTTTGATGATTACTTTCGATTGCCTCCGACGACTTAATATGCTCTAGCAGCTCAGATAAAGACACAAAGAAGAAAGGAAGAAATTGTCTTCAAAAAGATCTAAGATTTATAGAATAAGGCTTGTAAAAAGAAAATACGAGAAAAAATGTTTGAAACAAAACTCCAAATTGTGGATGGATTACAAAACAGAAATAAATCAACATATATATAAAACTTAAGGAATTGACTACTTATAGATTGGTTAGTGAGAGTATTGTATATTTCCACTAGGTTGCACTGTTTGATATAGAGGATATTTAAAAGGTATTAAAGCATTGACATGTGCGTAAATGCTACCATAATTATGTGCCATAAAAGAAAACAATGCCCACAGACGGCCGTTACCCCTAGTTCCCACATACATAATACATAATCACTCAACCTGTCACGGAAACTCTAACCCTTCCAAGAAGATACTCTATTGTTTAAATGCAACTCAAAGCGACAGTATCAATAAAGATTTGTGTTGTTAATAGTAGACGAAATATCAATGGTGGGGTGTGAGTTCTAGAGGGAGGAAATTTGGGTTAATACGGGACATAGAAATGGGTATTAGAAATACCTGTACAATGTAGGGATGAATGGATGGATGGATGGATGGATGGATGGATGGATGGATGGATGGATGGATGGATGGATGGATAGGTGGATGGAGGGATGGGAGGGTAGACGGATGGATGGATGGGTAGATGGACGAATGAACGCATTGATGGATAGATGGAAGAGTAGATGGATGGAGGGATGGAAGATTAAGAATGGAAAAATAAAAATAAATACTTCTATTAGAAGAATTAATGAATAGGAACTAAAAGAAGACTTAGTTTCTATATATGCGTAGTGTTCACATACATATAAGTGGTATTGTTCCGATCAGTTTGCCTGTATAGAGACACCTTAAACGTGCATGTTACCATATTTATTGTTGTCATAAAACATAATAACGAGCTCAAAAAGCGATGACCCCTCCACTCTCCCACATTTATCATGTATGCTGACTTGTCAGAGACTCTCTAAGCTCATTTGTTAATTGTTTCTGGTAAAACTATATCCCCTATGGTTATACCAACATATTCCCTAGGTACTGATTCATTCATGCTTGATTTCCTGAATTGTTTTTGATATTTTCCAATAAAACTAGTCATACATTATAACATAGAGGGATCGTGATTGCCAACTATAGATACACTTATTAAGTTGGTAAATACATTTAAACACATTTCTACTAAAGTCACAAACCCACTTATTATAAAAAACATATTACTATTAATTTTCATTTCTGTTTGCTCCCTTGCAACTCGCCTTCGGTAAGAAGTTTGCAAATAAATAAACATTAATATTTCTAATAACACTGTAATAAGTTATGTGAGTATGAGTATATCAGTATATGTTATTTGAAGTACCACGTATCCTAACTAACTAAATGAATAAACATGTTATGACATATATTGTTTCTTTCTACTACATATGCTCTACTATCAGTATTACAGGCTAACGACCTGTAGTACATGTAACGTTAGTAGTAGTAAAAGTCTGAATTCTTGACAGAGTCTTTCTAATCAGCAAGTCATTTGACCAGAAGCCTTTGGGCACTCTGTCTCGTATTTCGACTTCAAAACGCCGACATGTAATGGAATATCTGAATTCAGCAAAATAAGACCTTCACAAATTCTTCTCGGCAGATAATTACAGTGGTAACAGTTATACGAGATTGTTGTCAAAATACCGTGTGAGGTTTTCACATTTTCTAACCACGCCCACTTCTGGCCACGCCCCTTTATCAGTCGATCGTTTTTGTAAAGTTGATAGCTAAACTATAATACAATGCACATGTTATTTTATAACATTATCATCATTAATGCAATAGATGATTTGCAATGAGAACTAAAATATATACCCTGTGTTTTAGATAATTTGAAGTTAAAGATAATTGAAGGTTTAACAAAAAATGTCGCTTTTGTAGATTACTAAAAATGGCACTCATAATGTTTTGATTGACATGTAGCAAGGTAGCATGTACAGGTATTGGAGCCACAGCCTTCCAAGAAGACATTCTTTTGTTTAGGAAATGAAAGGAAGACGATAATTAGAAGCTTGATGATGCAAACCTGACAAAAAATGATGAAACACCTGCAGTGTGAAAAAAATGTTTCGCTAGAGAAAGAATATGAAGACTATATATGAAGATTTATAGCGATCTTTATATTTTCCATAATGTACAGATTCGTTGTAAAGCGTTGTATCAATGTAAACATGCCTTTGAGTAGGTCTCAATGCTCAAATATACTTTTACATGTCTTAGGATGTCTAAAGACAGCAAAGAAAAACACCGGATTCTCCAAAACGTCTTAAATGCGATTCAGATCTATTAAGATGAAATCTAAGAAAAAGCATGATGCCTTAAATACTCTGCAGCTGTTTTGTTTATCGGACAGCCATTTTTCTGTTTTTGATAAATACTGACAGGCATTTGGTAAAGCGTAACGAAACAGAAAAAACATTCAATGGTTCACCGATTCTAACACCTTTTTAAACATTAATCAATTCCCACAAGACAAAAGGTTTTTGTGTGAAGTAAGCCGTCCGAAACCCTCAAAGTGATAGATAATTACACCGAACAATCAGTCCGGAGGCTAAGTGTCGGCTTGAATCCTTAAAGAACATTAAGAAAACTGTTCAGAAACGCTTCTGAAAACGTTTTGAAGCGTTCAAGTCACCATTTACTTCGTCGTGAATAAAACACTTCATTGGCAATGTAAGTCACATTCAAAACTACAGTAGAAGAGTTAGAAATTGTAGGTTTGGCGAATTCTTTCGAGTTATGTGTTCTGACAGAAAGATAGTCAACGGACCCTTAAGGGTAAAAAAAGGTTGAAAAGGTCTTAAGGGGGGTTCTTTATCTTTTAAGACGAGCTGCTTAACAGGTGTAATGTCTTAAGGGTCAAGAAAAGATTGAAAAGGTCTTAAGGGGGGGTTCTTTACAGGTGTAATTATGTCTACCTTGTAGCTTTCCAAGAAGGTACAGCAAGTGAAAAAGAAGGAGTTTTAAGAAGTCAGTTATTACAAGAAGCGAATCCATTGGGTGTTCTGGTATAAAGACTATGCTAATTAGGTTTTAGGTAATCATGATTGTGTTCCTTCCATGCGCTATGCTCTTGGGTGGTAATGTAGCTTGCGTATACAACAAAATTGTATTTGCTGTTGAATTTATCTTTTTCAAGCAAGGAGACAGTGAAGATGCTTCTTTACCTTTTCTCTATCTTCCTTAGCATTTCAAGTATGGTGTTTTTGTAATCTTTATCTTCGTCGGTACGGATCTTGAGTTCGTAAAGAAGTGAAATAAGTTTAGCCCCCCTGGCAACTTTCTTTGGCACTGCAGCAGAACTTCGGACGTTGATATCTCGTATTCTGAAGAAGCTAGGAGCCTGATTTTCGGGTGGCAGATAGCTCTTAGGCTCGTAAAGAAGTGGCGTAGGTTTGAACCCCATAGCCAGCTTGGAAATGTTTGTCGTAGCCTCTAACAGGCTTCAGATGCGGTTGGAAAGAGTAGAAATTTTCCAAATATACAGATAACATGCCAGGAGAGTTGTCCCGCCATAGGAGTACATTTTGTCGCTCCCTTGGCATGTTATCTGTCTATTTGGCCAATGTCTACCCAACTTCTAAGCGCTTATGAAGCCTGGTAGAGGCTAGATTTCTCTATAACTACAGGGAAGAGATGTTCACTGAATTGAGACCACCTGAATCCCTCATTAGCAACCAAGCGACACATTTTAAACACCAGGTGATTAACCCTAAGGGAATAATTGTCCAACATGTGGGATCTTTCAACAACCTTTACAAATAACCTCTTAAGATAATGATCACACTCTCTGGCCCTCCTGTTTAAGACATATAACCTTCCTTAAAGGTGATATAAGGTTTAAAGAAGACCATTGGATGGAAGGAAAAGAGATCTGGTGAAATTTAAGAAAGGTTCGCCCAATCAGAAAGATGGTCAAGGGGTCAGTATTGGACAGTGCAAGGTTCAAAAGTGCAGAAAAGGCATTTTTTATCTTAAGAAGATCTAGACAGGTGACAATTACACACCTGTGAAAACAAAGAGCAGTGAGGTCAGTGGCCTCCATCAAAGGGTCTTCTGTCTTAAGGTCGGTACGGGTCAATGAAACAATGCCAAAAAAGGTGCAAGAAGGCTTTTTCTGTCTTAAGAAGTCATCTTCACTGGTGATAATTGTCCTCACCTGTGGCTTCTGAGAAGACAAAGGTGGACAAAACCGTCTCTTGTGTAATGAGACTACTGCCTTAAAGATGACCACAGGCTTTTCTTTCGCTGACAAGCACTGACAAAAGACGTCTTCATGCATGGATGACATAACAAACTGAGCGCGTCTTTCTTCTACTTCGTAATGATAAGACTCAAATTGTGCTCAAGTAATGTGATTTCTAAGATGAGCCTTTACGCCAGAAATAATTTATCGTACTCAGGCCATTGTCCTGAGAAGGTAGAAAATGACCAGAGGCTTTTGTCACACATGGACGCTAACAGAAGACTTTTTCATGTGTCATATTACGAGCTAAACGTCCGTCATCTAATAGAAAGCATCTCTTGATGATAAGGTTCGAATTGTGCTCTAGTAATGTGATTTCTAAGGTAAGATATTTTTACATAGTTTAGCTAACTGTTTTTATAACACCCTGGCCTATTTTAAAGACTCCATTGTAATAACTACGGGGAGAAAAGCGTATCATAGGCCTTGTTTAAGAGACGCCACATGATCATCACGTGATTCCGCTGCTTTGCTGAATGGTACAACTATGATAATTAGTAGAAACGGCACGTGATCATCACATGATTCTGTCGTTTTGGCTTTGAATGATGCGACCATAATGAGTAGCAGAAAGGGCACGTGATCACCACATGATTCCACTGTTCGTTCTGAATGATGCAACCATAGTGACCAATTGAAACATCACGTGATCATCACGTGATTTCAGAATGGTACGATCATGATGAGCAGAAGAAACGTCACGTGATCATCACGTGATTTCTGAATGGCACGATCATGATGAGCAGAAGAAACGTCACGTGATCATCACGTGATTTCAGAATGGTACGATCATGATGAGCAGAAGAAACGTCAGGTGATCATCACGTGATTTTGCTGTTTTTTTTAATGAACCAAAATGAGCGGACCTCTTTTTGCACATGTTGCGAAGTATGTGTCTACATTGAATTCATATATTTGCTATTATAATAGTATTGTATATCATCAATCCATACCCCATATATTTGCTATAGTATTCTATACATTTTTATATATTGCAAAGTACGTGTCCACATTACATCCATATGTTTGGTACATTATTTATTGTACATCGAAAGCAATGACTCAGAACACTTTATTCAGTTAAATGGCTTTTATTCAGCTCAGCCAAAACCCTGTCACCACAAAGAACAACCTTAAAGCCCTGACATATATTGAAGAAACATCTAAAGAGAGCTATGAGAAGTTTTGCTCGTGCTCTTGGTTTGACTACTTTGTTTCCACTACGTTAAAAGCGACAATATATCTTCATGTCGTCAGTAAGGCCTTGATGTGACGTCACATGCTGTGAGGCTGTGAGGGCAGACATAGGAATATCAGTTAGCTTTGAGTCCACTGTAAAGTATTGCAGTAAACCTATCAATACAAAGTACATCTCTAAAAAATATTTTTACTCCTAGAATGACAAGAAATTTATATATGTACTATTAGCTTCCTTACCTCCAACACAAAACCGTGTAGGTGATCTAGGCGCTGAATTGAGTCATCCTGTAAGAGTACAAAACAGTGTTTGAATACAACGTGCCTACTTTCCACAATATTTTCATCTTAGATCCAAGATCCTCCCAGGAAGTGTTTAAGCTGGGTTTTGGGGTATTACGCATACGATTGTATGATGTAAACCACATCTTACCACCCAGGGCCTACTGAATCACAGCTCTGTCAATCAACTGAAACGTTGACCGAATCTCCACCCATTCACTTCCAATCCTCGCTGCCAAGGAAACGATACATACAAACTTCCCTTAAATCAGTGCTGCCCAAAACAATACTATCGTCCCAGAAGTATGACGAAGAGTTTTCAAAGTTTTCAAATCCTCGCTGCTAAGGACAAGATACATACAAACTCCCCATACACCAGCTTAGCCCATAACAATACTTCCGGTAACCGACGAGCTTTCCAAGACCCACCTGCTCTCCTCCCCGGACAGCAGGGTGTTGTACTGGTTGATCTCTGCCTCCAGAGCCAGCTTGGTGTTCATCAGGTCCTGGTACTCCTTCAGCACACGCTCCATCTCGGTCTTCAGGCGGGACAGCTCGCCGTTCAGGCTGGAGATGATCTCCATCTTAGCCTCCATGGCCGAGGCGTTGTCCCGCTCAGCGCAGGCGATGGAATCCAAGATGGCAGCTTGCTGTGGGGAAAGATGGAAGATGAAATGTACAACTTTGTTGTGGGATTTTAGAATCCAAGATGGCGGCTTGCTGTGGGGAAAGATGGAAGAAGGAATGTACAACTTTGTTGTGGCATTGTAGATTCTAACATATGGCGGCTTGCGGTGGGAAAAGATAGACAGCTGATGTACAACTTTGTTGTGGCATTTTAGAATCCAAGATGGCGGCTTGCTCCAGTGAAAGAGGGAAGAGGAAGGTGGATAACAGATTACAAATTGTGGCAGGGGAAATGCTGTAACCGCAGACTGTTAGGGTGGTCAAAATATATAGTCTCTCTCAAGGCGTGGAACCTCTAATTTCTTGTTCATAATGGTGTTTTCTGTCTCCTATGCAACTGAATATATACTTTCCATCGCGTATACGTTCACGGTATACGTGTACAGTTCGTGTATTCTAAGATCTTCTAATCAAAAGATAAAATAGCCTTCATTGCTGCTGGAATGTCGAGGTTCTGCTCAATCTACATGTTACTTACCTGAGCCTTGAGAGCCTCCAGTTCGGCCTGAAGACCCGTCAGAGTTCGGCGGATTTCGTTAATCTCCGACTTCACCAGAGTCAAGGCCTCGTTACTCTGCGCCTGCTCCACCTTCACGGCAGAAACCTGTGCAAGTTTTGTGCAAGAAATAACTTGCATGAGAAATAGTCTTAACTTTGACAAGTCTTTGTACAGCTACATGCGCGCCTGTAAAACAGTGTGGTAATATTAGCACTGAGCGCACCTAACTGTATGTATCTATAAAGAAAACGGAGAACATAAACTGAATACAGTCAAATCTGACCATAGAGATCACTCAAGAAAGGAACGTTTCTATTAAAGAAAATGGTTGTAATGGGCAGATCACTGTACACGGTGGTCATCTGTCATGGTCAATGGAACAGTTATCTAAGCCATTGTGGCCAGGTGGTCCTTAAGTCTTACCTGTATGTAGCGATGGTCACTATTACAGATTAGGCCCTGAATGACTAAAACACTTTTAGTATGATCTACTATCTCTTGGTCTCGCTTTACAGTTCCATTCAGGGTCTCATGTTTCAGTTGTAGGGTACCTTGTCCTGGAAGGACGCCTCCACGTCAGCTCGGTTCCGGCGGGCTATCTCCTCATACTGCTCACGGATCGCCTTCAGAGCCGCGGTCAGGTCAACTGTCTCAAACCTACAGAAAGATGACAAAACAGGAACGTTGGCAAATTCGTATTATCATATCAGATATCTAGATTAATAAAACCACAACAATGAAACGGGGTATTTTTTTAGTGTCTGATTATCTGTTTTATCTGTAGGTACTTTCACACTTATATTTCCACATGCTAGACACGTCGGGGACACTGACAGGAAGTTGGGTCAAAGGTCCCAGAAAAAGGCGTATCAAAGGCTATCTCATTTCCTGTCTCCATTTTCCTGCCTTTTCCTTCATATCTGTTGCCTTAAAGAAGCCAATGGGAAAATGCATAGACAGAATCAACGAGGAATTGACAATAGTGAATAAAAACAAGAAAGTCACAAAATTTTCAAAGAGGTATGATATGTTAGACTTCGTGGTTATCATTTTCATCTTACTTCGTCTCTATCTCGATGTTCCCGGACGCCTTGATGCGCTCCTTCAGCTCGGCCACCTCCTGCTTGTGGATCTGTTTCAGGAACTCCAGCTCGCCCTGCGCGCCCTCGATCTGACCCTCAAGGTCAACCTTCTCCATAGCCAGCTCCTCCTGCTCCTGGGGACGAGAGGAGACAAACAGGCATGGGAACGAGAAGAGATAAACAGGCATGGGGACGAGAGGAGACAAACAGACATGGGAACGAGAAGAGACAAACAGGCATGGGGACGAGAAGAGACAAACAAACATGGGGACGAGAGGAGACTAACAGACATGGGAACGAGAAGAGACAAACAGGCATGGGACGAGAGGAGACAAATAGGCATGGGTACGAGAGGAGATTAACAGACATGGGAACGAGAGGAGATAAAATGCATGGGGACAAGAACAAATATATTTACTTGCTAATGACTAAATGCGCGAGCTGTAGCGTTAGCATTGATATTTTATTAATCCCTTTGCATTCAGTAGTTGATATTCACTATGTGACGTTGTTTCAAGGAACCTTAAATTGTTATTAGGAACCTTACAATACTTATCTTCTATTGGAGGCATGCAGTTGTTTTTGAAACACATAAATTTATCTAGAGTCATAGTTTAATTCCTTACCCTTTTCAGCATGTTCACCTCATCCTCCAGTGTAGCCCTCTGTTCCAGAACTCCCTCAATCCTAGAAGTACATATAGTTAAAGTACATCACATATTGGAACATATTAGACGTATTTTTTGGATAAAACACCGTGCCCAGTTATATTTGTCGTACGATCGTCGCACGATTTTTATGCCGTAGAATTCGACAGAACCAGTCTGTTTAGATCAGTAAAGACAAACACACACGTTCTACATTATACTAGATCAAACATGGGACAAATAATTGGGAACCTTTTCTGGATGAAAAAAAAGAAATATATAGCATCATTTTAGTATTATATAAATGGTAATAATAGTATTACCATCTGTCAATGGTATTACAGTAATAATAAATCATATGTTGTAAAAAGGCTATATTATTTTTCTAAGTCCTTTGACGTTGTCAACTATTCATAAAATCATGTCAACGCTTGCTTTAGATCAATAATTTGGACAAGTGTAACACTATATACAGCATAGTTGTGAAATAACCATTTCCATTCCATAAACATGAGTATCTACAGTAAAACCTAAGCCCCGAGGGATTGCGTCAATACGAACTTTTACGGTAAACCTTTAAACACCCCTGCTATCAAAACTCCATTAATATTTCAAGTGACAGCTTCAGTTGCCGACACGCCCCCTCTTCTGAAAGGGTCCCATTTAATCCCTTTGCACATTAAGAGAAAAACCGGTAACGCTAGATTCCTATAAGGTGTCACGCCATGTCTTTATAATGTGCTCACCAAGGCTGCTAATTTGTATGTGCTGTCAGGGAAAAAAACACAGACTATGAATTCTTATTAATCCTTCTAGCTCGCTTTTATAAGTTTTATTTGTCATTATGATATATTTGAAAAAGTTATATCTGTATATTAGTATGTGGTGCGAGTAACGTGTGTGTTGATTGTTGTAAGAAATTTGTGGAATCCGTTTATTTGATGATGAAAGTTTGCCGGTGTAGAAGGGTTGACCCCTCTATTGTAGCAGAATGTCTGTCGTTCTTCTAGCATGACTGCATGTTTTTAGCTGTTAAATATTCATGAGTTCTGCGCCAATGGAAATGTCAGAGTTCGCGATACGGGGTCGTCTGTCAACTGAAGCCCTGCCTGCTTAATACAACATGTCTTTGTTGTAAAGTATCCTCGCTATGCATACTAATGAGGGCTAGCTGTCATAGGATCGGCTGTGTGTGTTGTCTGTGCAAACTCCGGTCACTTGTTGGATTACACTGACGGAAAAATATCTAGCCTGGATGTCAGCCCAAATACGCAAGAAAAATACATGTATTTATCTTCCCCGAGTTGACTTAAACGTCAGAGTCTAACTTAGGGGGCTATGGAAAAATTTCCTCGGGGGTATGTTGGCCCTGAAGCCGAGGTGCTGGCCTGTGTAGGCCCTGGGAGCGGTCTAGAATCAGGGTTTCACTCAGGCTGTCTGGTAAATTTTCCTCGGGAGCATGTAGGCCCTGGAGCCGAGGTGCTGGCCTGTGTAGGCCCTGGGAACAGTCTAGAATCAGGGTCTCATTCAGAGGGCTGTGGTAAAATTTCCTTGGGAGCATGTAGGCCCTGGAGCCGAGGAGCTGGCCTGTGTAGGCCCTGGGAATAGTCTAGAATCATGGTTTTTTTTCAGGGGGCTGTGGTAAAATTTCCTTGGTGGCATGTTGGCCCTGGTGCCGAGGAGCTGGCTTGTGTATACTAAGTACCCTTGAAACAGTCTGGCATCCAGGCTAAAAATTGACAAATACCGTTCACTTTGAGATTTTGGAGAGATCGTATCTCTATATCAGTTCTTGAACCATAGCTGTTACGTAGTGGGGGGCGTCTGGATCTTTTAAATCACATTCGCTACACCATTCAACATTTTGATATATGGAATGTACAAGGTTTCGTGGTCTCTAAAAGGATTAGCGTAGGGGGCGAGGTATTTTATCGACAGAAAAGTTCCCAGGGTTCTTTGTTTGACCTTCGGATGGGGAGGGGCGCCGAGAATTGTTCAATGGTGCGGTTGCTTGTATCCCATGAAGCAACGCGGCGCTTTCTTTTAACTCTTTGTGTGATTGATGGAGCGTCTTAGCTCCGAGGTCACCAACTTCTTAAAGACTTAAACCAAGACTTGCCCTAGCTTCTTCTTCTCTCTGAGAAATTAAATAAGACTCAAAATGGGCGTCTTACACAATGTAGCATCTTTTCTATCTTCTGGATGGAGAGTTGAGAAAGAGATGGTTCAAATTTCACTGTCACAAGTTGACTGAAATAACACGTGGATACTAGAAGCACTGACATTTTGTTCAAGTGGTACTCTGATCATTTTATACCATAGGGCGAAGTAAAGACAATTTTATCATCATTTCCAATGGTTGGAACGACTGAGAAATGACATTGTGCATCGGAAACATACCGGGAATGATGTTGCCTATATTTATGAGTGTTTGGAGGAGCTACAAGTGGTTAAAGTGGTTCTTTTATGTTGTTCGTTCTTCTAATCATAGAACTATTCCAATCATTCATCCAAAGAGCCATCTTTGCAAACATCAATCTATTCATTCATTCATCCATCCATCCGTCCTTCCATCCATCCATGTTTTTTAAACATTCTTTTACACATTCTAACCTTTCGTGTGGATCCGTTACATTTAAAGGTTTCTGACAATGAAACCACGCGTCTTTTTGCCGCCAACTTTTCCTGAAAATCCTATCTACATCTGCGCTAAGCTAGACTCACTTCTCCCTCCACTGGTTCACCTCCAGCAGTACGGAGTCCCTGGCGATCTCCACGCGGGCCCGCTCCAGGTTAGCGGCGAGGAGCGCCTCCCGTGCCGCCGTCAGCTCCGCCGCCCAGTCGATGCCATCGTCCTGTACCGCCGCCGCGGCGGACGCCTCGTTGATCTGTATCTGCAGCTGGCGGTTGGCCTCCTCCAGGGAGCGGACCTTAGCGATGTAGCGGCCGAGACGATCGTTCAGCCCCTGCATCTCAATCTTCTCGGTGGCGTTGATGTTGACGCCGCCGGCTCCAAACCCCGTGCCGCCATAGCTCACCGAGGTGTACGACGCACGGACTGGTACCAGCGCGCCGGAGGAGGCGTTCAGCCCGCCGCCGCCCGTGCTGGCCCGCCCGCCCAGGCTCCACGAGGACCGTACGGTACCGCTACCCCCGCTGGACGCCACTTGGGAGAAAACGCCGCCCTGCCCGAGCTTGATGTTAGTCATGGGCGCGCCTCCACTTGTATAAGTCGTCGAGGAATAGCTCACAGACATCTTGGCTTGATTTCTAGGTCTTAAAACACAGCGGCACAGAGAGAAAGAGCTCGACTGCAAGCTTGGTGGATTTGCAGGGCGCAGCACGCGATGTGGGCACTATAAGTACCTCTTGTTCCTTGTTTGTTGTTTATTACAATCCTCCGAATTCTTTCACGCGATTGGTCAGGATACCTAGAGGCGGTACCATGAAACAACTACCCCTAACTTTAACGATAATGCAATTAGACGTATCTCTTACAAAAAGGAAAGAAATTACATACAGTGTAGACCATTTATTTTGTGTAAACTTGTTGCAGAAAAAACTTGAGTCCTTCTGTAAGTTGTCAGCGCTTGAATGTTGACCGAAATGTAAGCATGGCTTCTCATGAATAAGGCAACGCGTCACTTGGTACTTTATCTGCATAGCACTTTTGGAATTACACGTTCCTACTGACCGTAACCACACGTATAGGGTAACAATTAACTGGTAATGTTACACCATGTAAAACACCAAGCCGTGGGGAAAGGGGGAGGGGGGCAGCTTGGCTTGGAATGCTGACCTGGTATTTTGTTATTTCCACTGTCGATGTACCGTACATGTAAACATCTTAAGTTCTTGCTGAATAAGGCAAGAACATCTTGAACAAAGAGCACTTCCTTTTAAAGATTTTCAAGTATCTGACCTAGATTTAAGCAGGCGTTTGCATACATAATCGCCATACCTTTTCGAGTCGTTGGTGGTACTAGAAAGTTATGTTGAAAAGAATGCAGACACAAGTAACCAATGAATATTCAAAACATGACGTTTCCGGGGAAAAGGCAGCCAATTTATTCGCAAGAAGAAGTATCGAGAAAAGAAAATTAGTACATTTGACAGGTTTTTCTACTGTTAATCACCAACACTTGTTGTAGATCGCATCCACGCCCATTTGACATTACCGATGCAAAATTACATGGCAACGGTCCGTTGCTATGGCATTTACCGGTCTGCCCCTTTGATCTAAACGTCTCCCTACGTTCTTTACTCGTCACATAAAACCATTCCAAAGACAAATGCACCATTCATTTTAAATGCTGTAAGAACGTGGTAGTGTCTATATTAGTAAAAGATCCAAACACAAATGCACCAATTATTTCTAAAAAAAAGTTGGAAAGGACGATGTACTGTACGTAGTGTCTAAATTACTAAAAGATCCTAAGACAAACATAAAACATGTTTGAAATCGCGAGGTTTTGTCTAAATTACTGCAAGATCACGAAGAAAAGACGTTTAAAAAACGACTTGCTGAGATGAGATTAAAGTTTGATGCTTAACTGCGATTGTGCTGCTTACATCCGGGGTATTTGACGTACCCCAGACCACTCTGAAGACTTCCCCGCGTTCAGAACCTAATATCCAACGATCTTGGTCGTCGACTGTTTCTGGAACGACACTTGCTCCGTCGGCAACTGTCTCTTGTGACCGTAAATCACTTCCTGCCCCGCCTGTTCCTGCTGCCCTCCTCCTTCAATGCTGAAATGAAATTAAAAGAAAGCAAACGTTTTTAATACATCGAAAGTTTATCGCAAATCCATGCCCGAGAGCTAATTGCAAAAACATGATTAAATAATGAACAATAAAAATTATGTAATCAAGTCATAATGCTGATGCTACTTTTGATATAGTTATGGTTGATTTCTGTGTGCATTGGAGTATGAAATGACCGACATTTTGTGACATACATGTAAAGGTCATATACTCCACTCAGGCGAAGAAACGCAACCTTTACGCATACTTTAAAATGTTCTTAAAGACAGATTTCTACGTAGTGCTAAGAGCCTACAGCATCCCATTATAGCAGCTTATAGAATAGAGTTACAAGACGTCCTGATAAGGCTAAAAATTCTGTGTGTCGTTGGCATATTTTTTGCATACTATAAATTTGACTAGTTAGTTGTCCAACTCGGACGTAAGTAGCCTCTACCAGGCTTCGGGAGGCGGCTGGCCAAGAGTAGAAATCGGCCAAATAGAGAGATCGCACACCATAAGACTTGGTCTGCTGGAGAGAACAGTTAACTATTCTCTCCAGCAGACAAACTCCCCTGGCATGCTATCTCTCTATTTGGCCGATTTCTACTCTTCCAACCGCCTCCCGAAGCCTGGTAGAGGCTAAGACGTGAGTGCTGCACTCACCTTTCCTCCCCGCCTTGCAGGAGTTGGTTGTACATGGCGATCTCTGCCTCCAGTTCCAACTTGATCTTCATCATGTCGTTGTAGCTCTTGAGGGTCGCGGACATCTCACCCTTCAGACGGCTGATCTCTGCCTTCAGCTGCTCGTAGATGACGACCTTCGCCTCCAGGTTAAAGGCGTTGTCGCGCTCGGCATCAGCGATCTGCTCCTCCAGCGAACGTTGCTAGAAGGAAATCTCCAGGTCAGTCAATAATATAATATCTTTTAAATGTTCGCCCGTGTTATTAAATTCAGCATAAGCAACATTATATGGTACTATAATTATTGTAAGTTGACCTTATTACGCAATACGTCATGACCTCTGCTAGAGGTAATCTCGGTTGTGGGGCGGCCATCTTGTCCGCCATTTTTGTTTTATCGCGACTAGTCGGCGCGTCTGAATAACCTGTGCTCGGCTACGCACGGTAGTTATTGTCTGGAATCGCCTCTTTTCGGTCTTATTTGGTAAAGGGTTGCTCATTCCTTGATAAAGACTGATAGTAGTTTTGTAAATACCATTTTTTGTGTTGGAAATCTTGATGTTGGTTTAGAAAATCTTTTTTTTTGCAAAATTCGTGTCGTGGTACTTGGAGCAATGTATTCTCATTGAATCTTACTTTGTCTAAATCAAGCAAGCTTTGTCACGTAATGGACCGATCCCATAGCCCCTCCCACTTCTGTGAAAACAAGGACATGCATTATAAAAACATAAAAAAATTCAAAGGAATGACGAACGCGCAGCCACCCGGTTTTCATTGGTCTAACCACTAATTGCCATTCTCTCATTGGTTAAAATGCTAATTCAGTCTGGAAAGAAATATGAGCTTACCATGGCCTTCAGGGCCTCCAGCTCGGCCATCAGTCCCTGCACCTGGCTCTTCAACTCCTTCACTTGAGAGATGGCCACGCCAGTCGCCTCCTGCTGTTGGGAAGCCTGTTGCTGGACCTGCCCACTCTGTTATAAAACAAGAACAAGACCACCATTTCATCTCTTAGAACCCTGTCGTACGATCGTCACACGATTGCCAGCGGAGGGAATTCTTAGGATGGTCATGCCAAAATCAACTTTATTTTTACGCCTAGGGCATCCTTGTCTAATCCTACTTGATCTTGAAGTTGCACCAAACTACCCTTTCCGGATATATATATATATATACTAATAGTTGTTACAAAGGGACACATTTTAAAACATTCAAGTTGCAAAAACGATATATAAACAACAACCGGGAAGTTTTAATGTACTCTATGAATGCTTCGGAGTGCTCTGAGAATGCTTCGGAGTGCACGTTGCAAAAAAAGAATTCTTAAATGTTAAGATATGAGTACCTTCTTCTCGAACTGCCTCTCAAGATCTTCCTTGTTCTTCCTGGCGATTTCCTCGTACTCCTCACGGATGGCCTGTAGGGCTGCCAGCAGGTCCTGAGAACTGGTCTGGCCAATCTGGATGTCCACACCGCCGCCACCGGAACCGGCGATCCGGTCACGCAGGTCATTCACTTCCTGTGGGAGGCATGATTGAAGGAATGAACGAATGGATGGATGGATGCATTTGATGGATGGATTAACGAATGGAAGAGATCACGTAGGTTCGCGCTGGGGTGTGGTCTCGCGAGACCACTTTTCAAAATGGCCGCCAAGATTAAAAATGGGTCTATTCTAGTGACGCTCTTAAATTACATCACAGCAGTAGCCCACCTGCTCATGAACTTGCTTCATGAACTCCAGCTCGCTCTTGGCGCCCTCGATCTGGCCCTCTAGGTCGACCTTGGCCATGTTAGCCTCGTCCATCTCCCTCTTCAGGGCGTTGATGTCGGCCTCCAAGTCAGCGCGGATGCCCATCTCCCTCTCCAGCCTAAGGAGGACACAACCGAGACTATTTAGCCAGGCTGTAAAATTTTATTTGTAGATGGTGAATCGATTGTGACGTGATGGTACATGTGTTTTACGTAGAATTTATTTGCCAGCTTTTAAATTAGGATGCGGATTCATTTCAAGGTTTCTCTGGAACCTAAAACGGACACAGACCGAGACTAAGTCAGGAAGTTTGGTAACTTTAATTGTAGATAGAAAAATGCTGGATGGATGACATTGTGTCTTCATTTGACATAATGCTTTTGTAGGTTGAGTTGTCTGAAAAAGTACCATGTGTAATGCTGTTAATCCAGGAGAAATATTTGACAGTCTTGTTTTGTTATTGTTAAACAAAAGTGATGCCACAACTAACAGACAAGATCGCATTGCTAACATTCTTTCCGTTTAGTCCAAACATTGTGTAAACTTAAACATCATTGACATTGGTGTTCTTGAACACCCACAGCCTGAGGGAACATTCCTGCACTTGACACTCCTTTGAATTTTTTTTGTTGGTGACGCTCCCTCCATTACATTGCTGCCGTCATCTTTCTAGTCACGTAGATATGAGGGGAGTAACCAACATATCTAACACTCCTTCTTTTGTTTAAGTCAAAATTTAGGGCGTGTTTGGCGTGGCAAGAAGGTCTGGAAGTTCAAAGGCATTGTCTGATAAGCGTCGCGTCGCGTTGGGCCAGGCTCGTTTTCCCTTAAGGGGGATACGCCCCCTTAAGTGGGTACCGGGGTCTGAGTCATATGTAGGTACAGAAGCTGAGATAGTTGAATGTTAAGAAAAATCATCTAAGATATCGATGTTAGAGATCTCCTTACATTTTGTAGTGCTTTTGACTCATTCGTACGTGTTTTCTTTTCAAATTGATTATATGATGATGACCAATGACAGTATTTAATGACAGGTTGCATGACTTGGGATCATTAAGGTATTCCTTCTGCTCAGTGACTTGCAGTTGAAGTACGGGTTCAAGTTTAAGTATCATTGTCTGGATTCATGGTGCTCACCAGACCGAGTAATGACCACGCTAGCTACAAAACAGTCGTTGAAATAAAAGTGGTAACGCCCTTATATTTGCACAATCTGTAGAGTGCCACGCATTGACTTTAAAAATGCTCAACAAAACTGTGATGCTTTGAACATTTGGTTTGACGGTCGAGACGAAATTCAGACATGCTAACTACAGACCAAATTCTGTACGCAAATCATCATCATCGTCATGCCTACGGCTTATACTAATCCGGTGAGGTACACTTGATAAAGTTACTCCAGTATGTCCGATCTCTCATAGGGGACACTAATGCAGTCCCTGCGAGACCAGTGTCTCTCTCTAACATGGACAAAAGTGTAGTAAGGACGTCCCACTCTACGTCTCCCAGTAGGAAGCCACTGTACTAGTCTACCAGCTGGTTCGTTACTACGAACAACATGCCCTGCCAGGGCAAGTCTACGTCGTCGGACTACAGATGAAATGGGCGGGAGAGAGCCATAGAGTTGCTCGTTTGTTAGATGTTGTCTCCATGAAACATTGTACACTGTTCTTAACATTCTTGTATATGTACCATCTAGTTGTACGCAAAATTGGTATTGAAATATTTCACAACGAAACATTGCAGCGATCCAAATACTAGGGGTAGTTTATTCTGCTGCAAAATGATCGCTAAAATCTCGCGATTGTGTTTAATATAAGATTTGCAACAGGGATTCATCTCGAAAAAAGTCCATGTATTCCTTCTCCCGTATTCCTTCTCGACGTTGACTCCCCTACTTGTATGTAGGCCGTAGTGCGGTTTTGAGACCGTAGGCAGGCGTGAATTCTACGTTCCTTTCAAATCTGTTTCAAAGCCGCGGCATTGTCTGTATTACTTAACAAATCTCCCTTGAACTAAAAGCAGACCACAGACAGTTTCCGTAGCTAAAGCTCTATAACTATCACTATTTTCCGTTCAGTCTTACTTTAACTAAAGGTTTTTTTTCGAGAAGCCTAAACAAAGACGCTTTTGTTGCTCCGATTTGACTGCCTTTGCATGTTAATACTTCGGAACACGGCAAAAAGACTTGGAGTTTTTTTTCAAAGCTTGTGCTCTTTTTTTCAGGAGTGCCTCAAGCAAATCGTCTGAAGTATCGGAAAAATGGTTCTTCGGCAGGTTGTGTGACAAACCTCACTTCGATCCTTAGCCTTTTTTCAATTCGGAGCCTAAGCATCCTATGAAGTTAGCTGTACTAAATCTTTATACACCAAACACAGTAGTTCCTTTGGCTAATTCCACTGGGATTATGAATTGATTAAAACAGTTGCCTCGTGCCTGTTCAACCATTCATTGGGTATCAACTTCTCGTGTTGTCGAGATGAAAGTCTGAATGGTTGATTTGATACTCTTCGCAAACATATACAACATGGGAAGTTTAAAAATCAGGGGGTATTGTGTCGACAAAATTGTCAGGTGTAGTTCATCATTGTCATAAACAGTGTTAAAGTTATGTTTGGGTACAGACGTGACCGTTATGGTTTTTTGAATATCACTTACTTGATCCTCCATTGGTCCACCTCAAGGGTGTAGGAGTCCCTCTCGATCTCGACGCGGGCTCGCTCGAGGTTGGCCTTGAGCAGGGCCTCCCTGGCGGCGTCCAGGTCCGGCTGCCAGTCGTAGGCGTCTTCGTCGCTCTGCCCGAGCCCCGCCGCGGAGTTGATCTGGGCCTGCAGGGCGGCGTTGGCCTGCTCCAGGGCACGCACGCGGGCCAGGTAGGCGCTGAGACGGTCGTTGAGCCCCCGCATGGTCGGCTTCTCCTCCGTCCACATGCCGCTGATGCCGCTGCTGATGTTGATGCTAATCGACGACGACGAGGAGGCCTGGGGCCGGGGACGACCGATAGGGACCAAGGCCGTGCTGGGGCCCTGCCCGCCGAAGCCAGGCCTGAAGGTGGTGCTGATTTGTCCCCCACCGATGGTGGACCCGACTTGCTGCCAGGACGAGCCCGACACATTGCCGAGCAGGATGTCGGCGCTACTCAGGACATTACCGTGACCACGACTCATGATGGCTGACGAATTCGTCGCAGAACAGACGTACGTACGATATAGTCGGGGGACAGTACCAGAATGGCGCCGGCGCACACGCCTACATTCCCTTTATACACAATGTCAAACCCATCCCTTTCTTTCATCACGTGGTGTCTGTGTACATCGACGAAGCACCAATGACAATGACCTTGACATTAAATTGAATCATGCCAAACCTAACCGTAGAGGCTGGGTTGGCCTGCATGTCTAAAACTAGGTGTGAACGAATGGAACGTTAATTGGTGACGCAGGTCTGTGTTGAACCTTCTTGTTTTCACTTTCTATGTCCCGTACATGTAAACACTTTAAGTACCTTCTAGATAAAGCTGGAACATCTTGAACGAAAAGTATCTGACCTAGATTTAAACAGGCGTTTACATACATAATCGTCATACCTTTTCGAGTCGGTGGTGGTACCACAAAGTTATGTCGAAAAAATACAGACATACAAATAATTAGACAAAACATGACGTTTCCGGAAACAGGTAGCCAATTTATTCGCAAGAAGCTTAAGAATTATCGAGAATGAACAATCAGAAATGATCCCAGTTCACAAGTCTTTCTACTGTCAACCACGAACACTTTGATACAGATCTTATCCACGCCCATTTGACATTACCGATTCAAACTTACATGGCAACGGTGCGTTGCTATGGCAGTAAACCGGTCTGCCCACTTTCTTTATGTTTAACCACATGCAATGACCTTTGATCTGAACGTCTCAATCCATTCTTTACTCGTCACATCAAATCTTTCCAAAGACAAACGCACCGTTTCTTTAAGAAAGTTCTAAAATGTTTTAAAAGTACGAGGTTGTGTCTAAATTACTACAAGAACATCATTAAGAACAGACGTACAATGCGAAAGAGTCTGAATAGGTTGCTGAGTTGAACTGAGATGAGAGGAGAGGAGGATGCTCAGTTGCGATTGGCTCCTTACATCCGGGGTTTTTCTTTCAGCCGGTCCGCCATGTTGGGACGTGGAGCAGCCGCCATCTTGACTCATTTCTGCTCGTCAAAACTAACGAAAAAAAGGAAAAAATCAAGTTTACAAACAGTAACATACACTGTTAGAGTGAGGGGCTGACTTGGAATATTTTCACACAACAGCAAAATTCATAACAAGTACAAAAGTGTTGATAAAGCGACTTCACACACCTGCCCTGCTCGTTGGAGTTGTTTATCAGGCGTCAATGCTAGAGAAACTAAACATAAGGAGGCATAGGAAGGTTTACATAATTAATGCTTTGCAGATTTGCATACGGATATCCTGCAATGGAAAGGCACCGCACAGGATCAAACACAGGCAAAGGAAAGATGCACAGTGATCATCAGGGGCAAAAAAGTACAATAGATGCTCACAAAGTCAAAGATGTACTGCATAAACCAATTACTAATCATCTAAACACATGCACAGAGATGCTCACACTTGTAGTTGTGATAATGTAGAAAAGTGCCACTTTATGCTACCAATAGCAGATATCAGTGCCCTCTGCAATGCTTTAACAGCTCTCAAATAGGGTCTTTATACATACCTTAAAGTAGGCATAAAGGTTTCATTTTCCAAGAGATGAAAAAGAACCTTTACGCATACTTTAAGATGTGCATGAAGAGAGGATATCATATAGCACTGGGAGTCTATAGTGTCCCACTATACCAGCTTATGGAATAGAGCTTCTAGTAGCGATATAGGAGAGAGGGCAATGGGCAGCTTTTGGCATTTGAGTAGTTGGTTCAGTAGTTGGTTGTCTGTTTGGGACGTGAGTGCTCCACCTACCGGCCTTCCTCGCCCTGCAGGAGGTTGTTGTAGATGCTGATCTCTTCCTCCAGAGCCAACTTGGTCTTCATCATGTCGTTGTAGCTCTTGAGGGTCGCGGACATCTCAGCCTTCAGACGGCCGATCTCTGCCTTCAGCTGGTCATAGATGACGACCTTCGCCTCCAGGTTAAAGGCGTTGGTACGCTCGGCATCAGCGATCTGCTCCTCCAGCGAACGTTGCTAGAAGCCAACAAATTTTGTCAACCCTTAGTATACACACCAGTATACATTGGCCACAATTATTGCAAATATAGTAAGATACCACACCCTTATGCTACTGGCATTGTACATAGAGGTGTATTATAACCATGACACGTACGTAGATAAAGGCACAAAAATTCAAATTATGGACAGATACGCGGACGCTCTTTCATTGGTCGAGCCTCTAATTGCCATTCTGTCATTGGTTGAAATTCTAATTCAGTCAAGAGATAAACATAAGCCTACCATGGCCTTGAGGGCCTCCAGTTCGGCCATCAGTCCCTGCACCTGGCTCTTCATCTCCTTCACCTCAGACATGGCCACGCTGGCCGCCTCCACGTCCTTGGAAGCCTCCTGCTTCACCGCCTCAGACTGTGGGAAGACAAGAACAAGACAGGTCACTAACATCGTGCGATGGTCGTACGATCTTCGCAAACTGAGCATCGACCTGTAAAATTCATCTATCTTGTTTCAGAAAGGACTGCTTTTGATCCATATAGGTGGTTAGTTCTGACACAGCCTGCTTGAAAGGACATTGTAGCAAACTACCCTTTCTTAAAGAAAGTTGCCTCAAGGATGTATCGTCTGTAAGTTAGATGAAAAGTCATAGTTGCCAATAAACTAAATTTTCTCCAATACCCAGTAAGTCTTTCAGTTTGCTCAACGAATATGTCAATATGGACACTGCAAACGGTTGGTTCTGTCACATACTGCTTGACATTGTAGCAAACTAAACTTTCTTGAAGGTACTTATACCTCTATAACTTAGATGTCAAATCATAGTTACCAATACTATAAATGTTCTACTTTTTTTGCTCCACGAATATTTCGAACTGGCCGTTGTGATTTTTAAGAATTTTAGATGTTAAGAAAGGAGTACCTTCTTCTCGAACTGCCTCTCAAGGTCTTCCTTGTTCTTCCTGGCGATTTCCTCGTACTCCTCACGGATGGCCTTCAGAGCCGCCACCAGGTCCTGGGAGCTGCCAGTGCTCATCTGGACGTCCACACCGCCGCCACCGGAACCGGCGATCCGGTCACGCAGGTCCTTCACTTCCTGTGGGAGGCATGGATGAACGAATGAGTGGGGGAGTCAGTGAATGAATGGATAAATATTTGGAGGGAGGAATGGATGGATGGAAGGATAAAGGGATGGCTTAACGAATGAACGACCAAATGGAAGTGAGTGGGAGAGTAAATGAATGGAAAAGGTTTAAATTAAACGATGAATGAACGAATTGAAGGGAGTGAGTGAGTGAGTGACTGAGTGAGTGAATGGGTAAATTTTTGGATGGTTAGATGTATGGGTAGGTGGGTGCATAAATGGATCAATGAATGAAATGAATACCTGCAGTTATGAAGTAGCATTGCTTGGCACTGCATGTATATGATTTTTTTCATAACTTAGATGCAAATATTAGGAAATGAAGTATGGTTTTCTTGTGTCTACCTGCCTCCTCTCTCTTTCACACACATGCTCTCTCTCGTTTTCTTTCTCTATCTTTCTCTCGGAATTTTGCCATCCCTGAGGTTACACTACATGTTGCACGATCACGTACGATCGCGCTGGAGTGTGCTCTCGCGAGACCACTTTTCAAAATGGCGGCCACGATTACAAATGTTCCAGCTCAACGTTCTGCATCATTTCCAAGTGACGTCACAGGATGAACCCACCTGCTCATGAACTTGCTTCATGAACTCCAGCTCGCTCTTGGCGCCCTCGATCTGGCCCTCCAGGTCAACCTTGGCCATGTTAGCCTCGTCCATCTCCCTCTTCAGGGCGTTGATGTCGGCCTCCAAGTCCGCGCGGAGGTCCATCTCCCTCTCCAGCCTAAGGAGGACACAAACCGAGACTATGTAGCCAGGTAGTTTGGTACTTTTATTTCTCGAAGGTGGATATCATTGTCATGGTTCGAGCTACATTATATTTCATTCAATAGCCTTCAAATCAGGACTAAGATTCATCTCAAGTTCCTTCTGTTGCCTAAAGAGGACACAAACCGAGACTATGTAGCTATGTAGTTTATGTGTAGATGGTGGAACACTGTAATGGCGTGAGCTACATGTATGTTTAACCAAAATTTATCTGATATGGTACTTTTGTTTGCTATACAGAATCCTGTCAATCTAGGACGAAACTTCGGCAGTCTTAAGCTTGTTTTGTAAAGCGATGCCAAAAGTAACAGACAATCTTGCATTGCTAACATTCTTTGCCAATTGAGTGCAAACATTCTTCAGTGTAGATAGTATTTGAACATCATCCGGTGTTCTAGGACACCTGTATCCCCAGGGGGAAATTCCTACACTTAGTGCTCCTTTGTAATGTTTTCTAGGTGACTTTCCCACCATTGAAGCCTTCATCTTTCCAGTCACGTAGCTATGATTCGTACGTTGTCCCCTTGGGCGGAACCTGTAGCTACGACCAGCCGATCTGACACTGCTTCTTTTGTTCACTGAAAAATGATGGCGTTTGTGACGTGGCAGGAAGGTCAGACGGTTTAAAGGGCATTGTCTGTTGAGAAGCGTCGCGTTGGGCCAGGCTGGTTTTCTCTTAAGGGGGGATACGCCCCCTTAAATTGGTACCGCGGGGTTTGAGTCATCAGTAGGTACAGAAGCTGAGATAGTCGAATCTTAAGAATGATCATCCAAGTTATGAACATATGAAATCTGTCATCTTCTATTGCTTTAAGAATTCTTCGTACATATTCTATTTTTATTTGACGATATGGCGATGTCTTGCAACAATATTTTAGAGAGTTATTTTAGTTGATCGTAATTACGTCTTAAAGGATTAGAAACAGGCCTTTTATTTACTTTCACTCATAACTCCGATCTTAGAGCATAAAACCTGCGTTAAGGCCCCATTTTCTACTAAAGTGAAGAGACTGAACCTCAACGCATTTCAGGTGTGCTTAAAGATGTGTTTCTATGCAGTTCCTGTGTCTCTATTACAAAAAAAATCAGCTGAACACAGGGACGCGGTAGGTTGCATGACTTGGGATCATTATAGTATTCCTTCTGCTTGAGTTGCAGTCTTGTCTGAACAGGCGAATCGCCTGTAGCGACGGTTCTACAGTCATTATCTGTATTCATCCTGCATCACCAGACCGAGTAATGACCACGCTACAAAAGAGTTGGTACGCCTTTTGTCTGAGCTGTCTATGCGGGTCCATACTGTTAGCGTCTCCCGCTGGAGGGTTATCATGTCTAACGTCATTATACTTATCAATCAAACGACAACGCCCACTTTTGTAGAACATGTGGTAGATAAACACACATTTCATCTAAACAAATTGTGATTTTCTAATTATTGGGCTGGACGGTTGAGAAGACATAGAAAAATGCTGAAACTATAGAACAAATTCGCAAAATTGATATAAAAGATCATATTGGCAATGAACAATTTATATACAACAGAACCCAATACTGGCTAGTTTATTTTGCTGTAAAATCTTGAGTCTGTTAGGGGAGTTATCGCGACAAATATTCTTTTCAACGGCTACTTTATGTATAACGACGCTACCACATTCGTCGCAGTTCGTCGTACGATTCTGATTTCAGAGCAGACTGTTACAGAACCAACAGCCGACAAGGATCTGCGTCAGCCTTTTTCAGACCAATACAGCTCAATTCTGCCATCAGTTCGTACGACAATCGTACGACCTTTGTGACGGGGTAGTAAGAGGCGTGAAACCGGAACACGCGAAACTCGGCTGTATTTGTTTACGGAGATCGCCTGAGCTCAACAAAAAGCACCGTTCCAAACAAAATGAATCCTTCCACAAACACCAATGTAACCACACCGCCTCAGGTAACAATCCCGTGCAGCGTTTTAGAAAGGTGAAAGACGAATTTTATTTCATACCAACTTCAAGACGTCGTTTTCTTAAGAAAACCTCTTAAGGGCCCCTTTGAGGGCAGCCTTTTGAATAAATAATGTTGTTGATGTCCCTTTTAAACCCCCTATCTGATACACATTACATTCGTTCTGATAGTACTCCCTTCAAAGCTATTAAGCTAGTAACGAAAGTTTTCGCCTTATCAATTTTGAATGTGATTAGAACGTTTGCTTAAAATCTGTTTTTAAAGTCACGGGATAATCTGTAATAATCACATAATGATTTGCCCTCAAATTAGAAGCAATTGACAGGCCTCAAAACAGTTACCGAAGCCAGACCCTGCGACCTTTTGACTGTCATACGATCCTTTGGGGTCAGACGACACAATCCAAACAGGATTACGGGAGCTGTCGACTCGAATTTCTTACCACCACAAACTGTCACATCTTCCGTATAGTCTTACGTCAACTGAATGGTTTTTCGAGAAGCGAAAACAAAGATATCTTTGTCGTCTGTATCTGGGAGAATTTGCGTGTTTCTGCTTATGACTACGGCAAGGAAACTTGAGTATATTTCTCGGAGCTAGTGTTTTTTTTTTCTTCAGAGTACCTGTCTAACCAACCGAATCGCCTTAAGTAGGTGTGAATGTGATCCTTTGACAGGTTGTGTGGCAGACCTCACTCCTTTACTATCTTAGCGTGAAAATTCCTTAGGAGTTATCCGTACTAACACCTTACACAAAACGCAGGTAAATGTCTTGATCATTCCACTGCACAACTTACCTATTATAAAACGGTTGCCCCGTGCCTGTTTAAAAATTCATTGGATATCAATTTATATATGGCATGTTGTTGACGGAAAATATTGAATGGTTTGTTTTGAGGGTCACCGACGGACTACCTAGACATATATAGCTGTCACGTGTGAGAAATCAGTTTTTATGTCATCAAAATTGGCAGGTATATTCGGGTGATAAGCAGTGTTAAATGCTTAGATTTTGGTACAGGAATACAGACCGTTATGGCGAATATCGCTAGTGATATTGTAAGGTATTCTGAGGTGGAATATTTGATGAATATCACTTACTTGCCCCTCCATTGCTCCACCTCAAGAGCGTAGGAGTCCCTCTCGATCTCGACGCGGGCTCGCTCGAGGTTGGCCTTGAGCAGGGCCTCCCTGGCGGCGTCCAGGTCCGGCTGCCAGTCGTAGGCGTCTTCGTCGCTCTGCCCGAGCCCCGCCGCGGAGTTGATCTGGGCCTGCAGGGCGGCGTTGGCCTGCTCCAGGGCACGCACACGGGCCAGGTAGGCGCTGAGACGGTCGTTCAGCCCCCGCATGGTCGGCTTCTCCTCCGTCCACATGCCGCTGATACCGCCGCCGCCGCCACCACCGCCGGCGCTGAAGCTAACAGACGACGAGGAAAAGCTCGCCGAGGCACGACCGGCGGGGACCAAGGCCATGCTGGATCCCCCTCCCCGGCCGCCGCCGTACCCGCCACCGCCGCCGCCGCCGAAGCCACCGCCGCCAGTCGAGTAGCTGGTGCTGATCGGTTCCCCCACCGCCAGAGCGCTGGGTTTGCTGCCAGGACGAGCCCGACACATTGCCGAGCAGGATGTCGGCGCTACTCAGGACATTACCGTGACCACGACTCATGATGGCTGACGAATTCGTCGCAGAACAGACGTACGTACGATTAGTCGGGGGACAGTACCGGAATGGCGCCGGCGCACACGCCTAAAATCTCTTTATACACAATATAATACAAACCCAACCCTCTCATCCGTCACGTGACATCCGTATATCTATGTCCTTGCTATAGAGCGTCCTACATTACACAGTGTATGACTGTCTTATTAGGTATGCACACTGGCCCCGCCCATTGGCCTTGACGACAGCGTGGACACAATAGCTACTGTGCGTGGACACGCCGATCAAGACTTCACCCATTACTTAAGGATCACCAAACAGTGTTGAATGGTACAGTCAAACTTGGTCTCAACAACCACTCAAGGGACTGAGAAAAAATGGTTGATGACTGGAGACGGTTGCTCCAGACAAGATAGCCTTAAACTATGAAAATTGGACAGGACAGTTAATGTTTTCATGTGACCTGTGACTGCAAGTGTCTGACTGTATATGGTACATGAATTGAATTAGAAATAGAGGAAATAGAAGAAATGAATCCCAACTTTGAAAACACTAAAGATTTGGTAGCCCCAGTAGTTGGTTAGGTTCTGTCATATCTAGCAAAAAATATCCTAAGTTATAGAAACTGCAAACCGTATACAAAGTTAGGGACCCACTCACGTTTTTCGTAGGATCACCGTAGGATCGCAAACTGGAGGCGTAGTCGTGCATGTTTACTACAAAATTTAGCTATCCTATTAAGAAGAGGATGTTATAGATCGTTGATAATTGTTGGCTGTAGGTTCTGTCATAGTCTGCTTGACAATTCTACGAAATTGTATGACTGCCTAGTAGTTAAATATGACCATGCCACGAACCACCCAAGTTGACACATACATAAACGTTTAACTTTGCACGTAGACAGATTCTAGTTGCACTGTTTGTTGTTAGTTGTAGACGACCGGTACTTTTTGTTGTGTGTCAATAAAGTATTTTGGTATTCTGGTTGTCCTAGTGTTGCTCCAATTCTGTCATGTTTGTTCTCGTTTCTTTAAGACTTAATTTACGGGTCAGAAGAGCTTCCATGACTTATTTAACCTTTGCGTAGTGAATGTGAGGAAAGGTTGCTCGAATGTTTCATCATTGTAGACAAAAAATACAGCTTTTATGTGTAGAGAGTGATGCAGTAGATACATTACCATTTAAACTATAATAGAACAAATGTTCATTTCAATTATATGTCGATTTTGTTTCCCCATAGTTATGTATGTTACAAACGAGTGTGCCCCCCTCCCCAGTTAACATTCCAATACGTAATGATCCACGTTTTTGACAGTCGAGGCTCCCTTTTGGTGACTATAACGTAACATATTGAACGGTACACTAAGGACATAGACAACGACATCGAATGAAATCAATCTAATGCTAGCTGGATGAATACAATAGCTACTGTGCATAGACAAGCCGAGTTGCCTGTTTCATCATTGTGGACGAAAAATAGTGCAGCATTTATTAAGTAATGCATGGGTAGATACCATTTAGCTATATATATAGTAGAACAAGGGTTCTTTTCAAGAATATGTCGAATTTGTCTCCCTGTAGTATGTAGTATGTTGCACGTCACAAACGAGCGTGACCCCCTCCCACCTCAGTGGACATTTCAATACGCAAAATGCCTCACTTAATATAGTAGATTAGTTTAACTAGCTAGTAGTCTTACCAAACCCCTTTTCTTACACTTTATACCCAGTCTTCTATAAGTATGGTATGGCAAGGAATCGACGTGTTGATTGTACTTGTTTCATGTTACTAGTATTAGTTGTTCTTATATTAAATAGTTCGCAATCTTTTAGAACTCTTTGTCTTACACTGTGCCTATTACAGTTGCTGTGCAATAAAGGTTGACTTGACTATAATTGGGCGTTCTGACAGTCCAATATCCATTTTGGTGTCGAACGAAGCACCAATGGCATCCATAGTGACATTCTAATCCTTTTTTCTGTAGATGCTGGTAGACGCCACGAGGATCGGAGCCCTTCATATCTCAAACTAGGTATGAAGTTGTTCACACCTGATGAAACGAACTTTCAACAGAGAGGTAAGTTGATGATGCCTGCCTGTGATATTAGGCATAGTGTCGAATTTAGGAATGTTATGCAATATGGCGAAAACAAAGAAAGAAGACTGGGTGCTACCATATTTAGCTTTCAACAAAAGTGCAATTCCTCGCCAGATGGGGAGGAGGTCCGGATACAAAAGATGGCGTCTGTACTCTCCAAGCAGAGGTTGATGGGGGAAGCTCGTTACCTTCTTTTTATATTTCCCGTTTTGTTCTGTTTTTGTCACTATGCCCGGGGCATATATAACATCCTCTGCTCGGGACCAAGAGGATCCGGGTTCGAATTCTATCCATGACACTGATCTTTTGCCCTTACGAAAGGCACTTACACGACTTTCCTCACTTTACTTAGGTGAAAATGAGTACTAGTACCTAGCTTCCCACGACGTTAAAGAACCCACAGCACTTATCGGCCCTTCCAGGTGTGAGTGGTTCAAACCTTACAGTCCGGTCTTACTGAGCTTGTACTTATATGTACAAAACTGGTGCATATATACCCCCGTATCCGTAAATAATTTCATCAGGTTGGTAAACGAATGAATGGCAAAGTTCTTTGATCACAACCATTTATTTTTCATGAGCCGACGTTTCGATGACCGTCTGTCATCTTCATCAGGGTAATTCTGACTGGTTTACTGTGCACTGACGCTCGATGTTACTTGGTGCATAGTGCACTAAAGGTGTTACATAGTTCACATTGCCTATATACATTTAAAATGTGTCCGTTACTTCTAACCACTGCCTTAACTTGAGCCTATAAATGTCCTTTATTCTGTGTTTTTAGTATAGACTAGAGCTGCAGGCATTGATTAGGCTTTTTTTACACAAGAATTTCAAGTCTCGGACACAGACTTTCTGTAAGTCCCTCTTAGTCATCAGGGGAGGGGGGCATTCGCCTGTTATTAAATCTTCTACACTCACAGTGCATGGTGTACCTTTATCATGGCTTTAGATGATATTCAATGGAGGTATTGAGCTATAAGCACTTGAACAAACCAAAACGATACACAAAGAATGAAGCGACCAGTTATGATCCCCATATCCATAAGCTTTTTTATTGCGACACCAAGAATAATACTCCAAAGAGTACAACAAACAAGACTGTAACTTGGCATTAGTTGAAGCTTACCATATACCCACTACAAGTCTAGGCAAACATTCCCCACTATTCAAAGTATCGCATTCTCTGTTTAATTGGGTTACAATCGAACTATGGTATCCTATTATTTAAACCGAGCTACCAGTATGCCTACTGTAGTATGCTCTGGTACAAAGTGTTTATTTTTGCCTAGTTTTTGCACGAGTAAAGTTTGTGACATCGTTGAAGGTTTGTTTGCATAGGCTTAAAGAACAAAACGCGCGGACCGAAAGAAAAAGAAATTACAGATAGAAATGATAAAACGTATCACTAGCACCACACCAGTGTAAGGTTATAGAGCAGCTTGCTGACTCATGATAAAGGTTGAAATTACAGCTGTAGCACTGCTGAAAGTCCCATCTTTAAGCATACCTTAAAGCGTACGTAAAGCTCCAGTTTTCACTCAAGAAACATGTACTTAACGCACACTTTAAGATGTGCTTAAAGACAGAATTCCGTGCAGTGTAGCCTCACTACGACTGTGGCACATTCCACAGTGAGAGCGCGCGTTGGTGGGAAGACAGTAGAGCGCCAACCCCCCTTCGGTACATGTTCATGGCATCCTAGAACATCCTTTGTCCTTTGGAGAAGACCGCGCCTCCTCCTTTACTGTATCCTCCGCCGCCGCCGCTGCCCCAG